ACAATTATTTCTCTCTATAATTGAAGCATTTTTTAAAAAATTCACATTTGCAGTAACATCTAAAACCAGAAAATACTTAGAAGTATAACAAAAAATGTGTAGAATCTCTAGATTAAAAACTGCAAAATGCTGCTGAGAGCAACTAATGCAGACTTACATAAATAAAAAGATTTCTATGTTCTTGGATAGGAAGACAATATTTGAAAGATGTAAATTCTTCCCAATTTGATCTGTATAGTCAATGAAATTTTAATAAAGATAACTGCAAGACTTTTTGAGAAATTGACAAGCTGATTCTAAAACTTACATGAAAAATTTAAATAACCTAGAATTGTCAAAATAATCTTAAAAGTTGGGGGGCATAATCTGCAACAACATGATGGTCCTAGAGGGTATTGTGTCGAGTGAAACAAGTCAGACGGAGAAAGAGAAATGCCATATCATCTCACTTATATGTGGAACCCAAAACAAAATAAACCAACAAAATAAGCCAAGCAGAACATAAACAGACTCATTCTGACAGTTGCCAGATGGGCTGAAGGTTGGGGGGCTGGATGAAAAAGATGAAGGGATTAAGAAGTACAAATTGGTAGTTACAGTATATCATGGGAATGTAAAGTACAGCATAGGGAATATCATTAATAATGTTGTAATAACAATGTATGGTGTCAGATAAGTATTAGATTTATTGGGGTGATCACTTCTTAAGTTTTATAAATGTCTAATCACTGGGTTATACACCTGAAACTAATATAATATTGTATACCAACTATAACTGAAAAATTTTAAAAACTATTTCTAAAAAGTTGGAGCTTACTAATATATTACTTGATTTCAAGACTTTATACAACACAGTGGTAAAAATATAGACAAATAGATCAATGGCACAGAATATTGAGTCCCCAATAGACATATATAAATATAGCCAACATATTTGATACAAAAGTATCAAGGTATAGTACTGTATTATAGTTCTGTGGCAAAAGAAAGTTTTTTGCCGACCAATGGTATAGGAACATTTGGATATCCATATGGGAAAAAAAGGAACACACCTACTCCTTATTATATACCAAAATTAATTCAAGAGGACTCATAGACTTAAACATAAAGGCTAAATTTATAAAGCTTCTAGAAAAATTCATAATAATATAGCTTTGCAACCATTGGTAAAATGAAAATTTCTTAGCAATGACACAGAAAGCACTAGTCATAAAAGAGAAAAAGAACAGTCAAATCACAGACTGGGAGAAAATACTTTCATCGTATATATCTGACAAAGGACTCATAGCTCAGCATCATCCAGCACAGGAAAGCACATTGAAACCACAATGAGATACCCCCTCTTAGTAGGGTTAAAAAATTTTGCAACACCAAATGCTGTCAAGGATACAGAACTTTCAGAATGTTCTCATAATGCTAGTAGGAATAAAAATGGAAAGCTGCTTTGGAAAATAGGGTGTCAGTTTCTTATAAACTTATGCATTTACACAGCATTGTATTTCCTGATGTTTATCTAAGAGAAATGAAGATATGCAGCAACAGAAAGCCTAGTAGAAGAATGCTTAAAGCAATTCTGTTCATAATAGTAAAAGCTGGAAACTGCTCAGATGTGTGTTCATCAGTAGGAGAATGTGCAAACAAACTAGTATATTCATACAACAGAACACTACTGAGCAAAAAAGGATTAAATTAGTGGTTCACTCTGCATCTCAGAAACTATTATGCTATGTGAAACAAGCCAGGGTCCAAAAAAATGCATATTGCATGCACCTATATGAAGTTCCAGACCAGACAAAGTTAACCTTTTGTGATAGAAATCAGAACAGTGCTGCTTTCTAGGTGGAAGGGACTAACCAGGAATAGGGACACAGAGAACTTCCTGATGAGAGAAATGTCCTATATACTGAGATGGGTGTGGGTTACACTGGTGCCTGCATTTGTTAAGATGGAAAGGTACCCTTAAAACCTGTGCATTCCTGATGTCTTAATCATATATCAATAATTTTACAATAGCATATAACATTTTAATTGCTGCTCTCCATTAGAGCCTCCTTTCGTCAATCCATGAATTAGCCCACATTGGGTTAATGCAATTCAATTGCCAATGAATCAATCTACCTGAATCTTTATGCAGGCAAAGTTTGTCCATTGTTTCCAAGGATATCAGAGTTTCGTGTTAAATAAAGCTATGCTATGTTTGTGGCACTCTTTGATATATTAATAGGCCCAATAATTCTAACTATTGATGAGGTTAGACACAAAAGTCAATATTAAGTTTCATAATTCATTAAGTGTTCATTTTTATACTTGTTTTCTCTTGTTTCTTAATATCTTGTGTTCTACTTAACTTACTATAGTATTGAACTCCTTTAATAAATCATATAGCATCTATTTCCTGACAACTTGGATTTTGTTCCAAAATGTACACTATTTAAAAAAAGAAGACTAACAGGATAGGATAAACATAAAATCCTTCTAAATTGAATGGTTGGGAGGGGTGCTGGGGTGAGGAGTATTGAAGCAGGACACTGAGCAAGAGAGAATATGAAAGGAGTTAGGGAGTGATTGGATGAGAAATTTAGGAGTTGTGGTTGGAGCTGTCCGAGGTCTGAATCAAAGAGATGTCATGTAGCCACATTTTTCAGAACGGTCCAAAAAATGGCAGAAAGAATGGGAAAGAAACCTTCATTTAAATGCAGCATGCATTACAAACCTTTTCAGTCACAGAGGCAATTGTGGCAAAATATTGCTATCTAAAAGTTAAAAATATTTTTGTGGAGGTCTTACTCAACTAAAGATATTAAAAGTATTCCGCTCTGTTACTGCTATAGTTCATGAGTTAATGAGAAGCTTTTGATTCCATCAATATCTGTCAATATCTAGTTCAAGGGTATTTGTGCATTAATAGATAATACTATTAAGGATGAAATGTTAAGTTAAAATCTAATCATTTTAGAAAGTTATTACTGCAATATACAAGGATTGTTTATAATGATGATGATAAGATAGCTAATGCTCCTTGAGTTCCTAGTATGTACCAAGTAGCATTAAAATATTTCCCAGGGATTTATCTCGATAAATCTTCCCAACAATACTAGGACACAGTACTGTTATTATTTCTATTTTGCAGATACGGCAAGTGAGCTACATTCAGTTTTATTTAGCTAGCAATGGCTAAGTCCAAAGCTTTTCTCTCCACCAACATGTTATGAGTCAAAGATGTCAATTTGTGTGTAATTGAATGCTTATATAGCTGCTATTTCCCTTTTAAAATATTCTACTCATAACATTTTGCTACTTTTAAAGCCATTTTTTTCTTAGGGTTGTTTATTGTTTATTTCTGACAGCATCTTCAAAGAATAGGGACAGCAATCTTATTTCTATGTTCTTCGGTGTAAAAATGAAGCTATTACCCAGCATAAAAGTATTAATAGAATCTTTTCCCAGAGAGATGGATTATCAGGGAAAGTAAACGACGACATTCTCTGCCAATAAAAATAACGAGACAGACAGGACAAAAGTAATGGCATCCTCTAGCATAATCTCGGCAGCAAATAACGAAATCACCTTGAAGGAGATGAATTGTTACAAAACACCATCCTTGTCTAATATGGATTGACAGGCAGAGACCGGATCCTTCAAGAGGATGGCAGCCCACAGGCCCATGTTCTTTCAAGGGATCAAAGGGACTGACACTGCCTGCCAGCCCCATCTAAGCAGAAAACAACAAAGTTCTCTTCAGGCGGATGTTTACTCTAAGATAGCGTTTCTGGGGCAAGATAGCATATTTGGGAGGGATGACAGCATTTTTCCTTCACATCTTGTCATGTGTTAGAGTAGGACACGAATGGGGGGAAGAATCTACCCAATCTGTCTGTGGGCTCCAAAGCAGTCATGAATCTTTAGCCAGCGAGGGAAGTTGAACTATTCTGTGACACAATTGTTTTAAACAAAAAGCATGTGGAGTACTTGGTTTACAGATTATTATTCATTTCCCTTTGATCAATAAAAAACTAAAAAATGTTTTATATGGACTCAGTTTATCATCCACCAAAGTGGATTTTAATAATTATCTAGAAAGAAAAATGGCTTGGAGGGATTAAAATGTTAAATAATAAAACAATAAAAGTTCCAGAAAAAAATATAAAAACATTTTATAAGAATTTACAAACATGATATGAAATTCTGAATCCTTATGGAAAAGATTGATTTGACTATATAAAATTATGAAACTATTAAAAAGTTGAAGACAAACTGGTGGAGTCAACATTCACTATTAATATTTCATTGGTTACTATTCTTAACATATAGAAAAATTGTGAGAATAATAAAAGAATATAACTTTTACTCAGAATTCCCAAATGTTAATGTTATTACATTTGCTTTCTTGTTTTCCTCATCCTGCATACAAACATTTTTTAAATTTCCTTTCCAATCGAGGTCTTGCTATTTAGCTCTGCCCTCATCTAGCATCACTATTGCAGACATACAGTGCAATTAAACTGTGCCTCTAGCTCTTTTTTGAAATCTTCCAAAAGATTTTTTTAAAGGAGACACTTTAAAAATATTTTTATTGATTTCAGAGAGGGGTGGGGGGAGAGAGAGAGAGAGAAAGAGAGAGAGAGAGAAACACACACACACACACACACACACACTTTTTTTCTGCACTGAGAGTAAGTTACAAAGTACTCCTTAACCCCTAAATACTTCATTGTATATTTCCTAAAAGTCCATGACATTTTTATATAATATCAGTACATGTATCAAAGTTAAGATATTAATATGATATAAAACTATTTTCTTACCTAGAGAACTTATTCAGATTTCTTCCAATGTCCCAGGAATGGTCTTTAAGCAAGAAAATCCGTGGGCTGTATTCGTTGTTTTGTCACTTTAGTTTCGTTTCATCTGGAGCAGGCTCTGTGTCTTTCTCTGTATGTCATAACAGTGACACTTTTGAAAGAGTACAGGCCAGGTAGTTTGTAGAATTTTTCTCACCTTAAGTTAGTCTGCTTTCTCATGACTAGGTTCATGTCATGTACTTTCTGCAGGAATACCATAGAAGTGATGTGTTTTCCTTAGCACATCATTACCAGGAAGTACATGCTGCAATTTTGTCTTCTCATTGGTGGAGTTAACTTTGATCACTTGCTTCAGGTGTTTGCCAGGTTTTTCTAGTGTAAAGATACCATATATCTCTTTGTAATTAATAGTATCTGTGCGTATTTACTTTGAGATGAAAGAAATATTCAGTTACTCTTCAAACTTCCACCCACTAATCTTAGTATACAACGTTGATTCATACTTGAATCAATTATTACTACCATACTTACCAAATGGTGATTTCCTAATTCCATCATTTCTTTTTTTATTGTTTGCTTTCTACTGTAAGGAAGAGCAATCTCTTTTTCTCTATGCATTGTATTTTATTTAAATATTGGTGTGGACTAATGGATTATAATTTTAGTCAATACAATAATTTTATTAACATTTATTAAAATAATATTAAATTATCTTAATTATTAGAATATAACTTTTATTATTTTGGTGCTCAAATTGGACCAGATTTGGCAAACGGGATCACTTCAAGCACTTTCGTGTCCTTTTCACATATCCCAATTATTTTAGAACACTTTCCTACTTTCTGGTACAAGATGGTTGAGGCTCACTGTCGTTGGCCTAGCCCTGGAATGAGCCATTTTCCCAAGGAGCCCTGGCTCCATTTAGTGGAGAATGGTATTCAGAGACATACATCTGCGCATTAGCTGTGTAGAGCACTGCTCTTTCTTTGCTTTTTGAGTAACATTTAAAATAATAAAAAAATTAAGAAACAATTTAACATTTATCAGAGGAATCAGTTAAAGTATATCTGTAGAGTGGAATACTATGTATACAGCTATTAAAAATAATGAGGCATCTTTATTGTACTGATATGGAAGAGGGTCTAATATACATTATATTTAAGAAAGGTAAGTTAGTGAAAAGTTGGTATGGTTTATTTTAAACATTATACATAAGTAGATGTATATTCAAACAGAAAATTTTAAAACCCTGGAAGATTACATACCAAACCACAAAATGTTTTTAAATTTCTGGTAGTGGAATAAGACATAAGGTAAAATTTTAATTTCTTCATAGGTTCTTATAGCTTTTTATGCATTAAGCATTTATCAATTTTTATTTAAACATATAAATCTGAAACCAATAAATACAAAATAAAAAACAAAAACTGCTAATGGTTTACAAGAGAATAAAAGTAATTTATGGGGAGGTTAGGGAAACTCGGCCTCATTTTATATTAGTAAAATTGCTATATTAGTACACACTAGTAAATTAGTTTGTAATAATTGCCTCAATCAGTAAGTCAATTTTCTTCAGGTCTCATTTAATATCCTCATTAGTTAAGTTTTTTTCCTCTATAAATAGATTTTCCTCTATCAGGGCACATACTTGCTAACATATTTCCAAATAAGACGAATAGGTGCCTCTGGGCAGGCTTGACTTCCTTTTGGCCAATCTTGATTTAGGTTCAGACTCACCTGGCACTGACAGTGACGGGCCTAGATCACATGCAGCAAGCTTCCACATTCAACCAGGGCCACCAACATTCTTATCATTGGATCCTTATCATCTAATCCTGCATACAAACATTTTTTAAATTTCCTTTCCAATCGAGGTCTTGCTATTTAGCTCTGCCCTCTCTGGTAATCACCATACTGTTGTCTGTGTCTATCAGGTTTGTATGTGTGTTTTTCTTAATCCCTTTATCATTTTCAACCAGCCCCCAAAATCTTTTCCCTCTAACAGTCATCTAGCATCACTATTGCAGACATACAGTGCAATTAACCTGTGCCTCTAGCTCTTTTTTGAAATCTTCTAAAAGATTTTTTTAAAGGAGACACTTTAAAAAGGTACTTGTCTTTCTAACTGACTTATTTCACTTAGCACAATACTCTTCAGGTCCATCAAGGCTGTCTCAAAACGTAAGGGGTGCACATATTCTTTTGAATTAGTGTTTTGGGATTCTTCAGATATATACCCAGAAGTGGAATTGCTGGGTCATGAGGCTCACAGTTATAGTGAAAAGAATACTCTATTTGAAATGGAGGGGATTTGTGATAATCTGGTACTGTCACTATGCAGCTTTTTCCCTAGGCAAGTAATTGACGTTCTAAGAACCTCCGTTTTCTTATCTGTACAATCGGAATAGTCACACCTACCTTGTACCGGTGCGGCTGCACCAATCTGCATTCCCATCAACAGTGCACAAGTGCTCCCTTTTCTCCACAACCTCACCAACACTTGTTTGTTGATTGGTAACCATTCTGACAGGTGTGAGGTAATATCTCATTGTGGTTTTAATTTGCATTTCTCTAATGATTAGTGATGTTGAGCATTTTTTCATATGTCTATTGGCCATCTGTATGTCCTCTTTGGAGAAATATCTATTCAGGTCCTTTGCCCATTTTCTAATTGCATTGTTTTTTATTTTTGTTTTTTGGTGTTGAGTTTTATAAGTTCTTTATAAGTTGGGGTTTTTGATGTTAAGGGCTTTTATAAGAACTTATAAAACTCATCAGATGCATTATTAGTGAATATGTTCTCCTACTCAATAGGTTGTCTTTTTATTTAGTTGATGGTTTCCTTTTCTGGGTAAAAACTTTTCAGTTTGATATAGTCCCATTTGTTTATTTTTTTCTTATTTACATTGCCCAAGGCAATAGATCAGAAAAAATATTGCTAAGAGAAATGTTTTATATTTTACTGCCTATGTTTTCTTCTAGGATTTTTATGGTTTCACGACTTACATTTAAGTCTTTATTCCATTATGAGTTTCTTCCTGTGTATGGCATAAGAAGATGGTCTAGTTTCATTTTTTTGCATGTATCTGTCAATTTTCCCAACATCATTGATTGATAGACTATCTTTACCCCATTGTATGTTCTTGCCTTTTTCCCCCCAAATATTAATTGACCATAAAGGGGTGGGTTTATTTCTGAGCTCTCAATTCTGTTCCATTGATCTACATGCTTATATTTATGCCAGTACTATGCTGCTTTTATTACTATAGCCTTATAGTGTAGTTTGATATGAGGTAGCTTGATTCTTCTAACTTTGTTCTTTCATTCTCAAGATTGCTGTGGCTATTAGGATCTTTTGTGGTTCCATATACATTTTTGGAATATTTGTTTTAATTCTGTGAAATATGCCATTGGTATTTTGATAGGAATTGCATTGAACCTACAGTTTGCTTTGGGTAGTATGCACATTTTTATTATGTTAATTCTTTCTATCCACGAACATGGTATATGTTTTCACTTATTTGTATATTCTTCATTTTCTTTCTTCAATATCTTATAATTTTTCAAGTACAGGTCTTTTACATCCTTCATTAAATTTATTGTTAGGTATTTTATTTTTGATGCAACTATAAATTGGTTGTTTCCTTAGTTTCCCTTTCTGAGAGTTCATTATTGGTATACAAAAATGCAACTGATTTCTGGGTATTTATTTTTTATCCTGCACTATACTGAATTCACTTAGCTCCTTATACAATCATACTGACTCATTTATTTTTGGTGGAATCTTTAGGGTTTTCTATATATAGTATCGTGTCATCTGCAGAAGGTTTCTAACAAACATCTTTTGTTTAAAGAGATGTGTAAAAATTGGGGAGACTCCAAAATAGGATTCATTCAAAGAGTAGCATAAACATCTAGAAATAACACCAGAAAGATTAAAAGCCAGAATAAACCGAACACTTAAAAAAAGTTACCAGAAATAGCAGATATGAATTTTAAGTTGTGTTTAGAGCAGAAAGAATAATAAGAAGGAAGGGTTGAATACATTATTAGAATGAAGGCAAATGATTTCAGGCTTCTAGATATCACAGACAACATGCAAAAACCTGTTTGCTTCCATATTTGCTGCAAAATGGTAAGTTTTCTGAATAAAAATGGAAACTGAATACATTATAGAATCAATCATAGACCAAGATATGTAAGGAGGTAAAATGAAATTTCTGATAACTACAACTGAGTTTTGAGCCTCCAGAAGCAGATGAAGTGTCATTTCAGGATGACAGAAACTTTCATCAGTTATCTAAGATCTCCTACTAGCAATGTTCCCCCAAAATCGAGTCCTGCCAAGGTTCTTGGAACTTGAAAGATAATATCCCCGTTTCATAAAAATAAAAACCTATCTACTGTTAGAACAATGATCCTATAAGTGATTAATATTTAGAAAAAAATATAAGATTTTCTACGGCTTTTTTAGGATAAAATATTTCAAAATATCTGATCATATTTTAACAGAGTTAAATACTAGAATGGTAGGTACGAAATGTTAAGACTGGCATATAATGATTTTAGAAGAAAGAACTACCTCTAATCTCCTAATAGATAAGCTGGTAACATAGGGAATAAGATAGTCCAGGTGTATTCACAGTTTATTTAACAATCATAACTAAACGGTGATGCTATATTACTTTTAAGTATTGGTTAGCTTTATTTACCATGGATCAAGTACATGTTGGGTTAAGAGATATTGAGGATCTGCCTGTCTTCCTGAGGCTGTCTGGATCTCAGTGACAGCTGTGTGGGTATTGACAGAGCCTATTTTCCTCATGGTAAGCATGGATCCCATTGGAAGCTACAGTAGTACTGAAGGGAAAGAATTAGATTGTTTCTATTCCTAACTGTACCATTTGGAAGCTGTGTGGCCTTGCAAATATCCCTATCTGTAAAACAAAGATATAACTGCTGTAAGTCAATCTATGGGTGGCTGTTAGGTTTTAAAAAGATCATAGTTTTAAAAGGCTTTACAAAGTGTCCCTAGTCGTAAAAGGTACCAGTATCTCTGTTTCAATCTGGAATAAGGGCAACTATGGAAGACCAGAGGGATCCTTTCCTGACTCTATCCTGGTCAGCACTTTCATCAATGGAACCAGGAGACCTAATTATTAGATTTAAAAAGCTTGGCAACAACAGCTTTGACACTCAAAACTTTGTTTCCCAATCCTGCCAAAAGTACATTTCCAGGCAAAAATATCAGACCAAAACAGCAAGATGAAATTTAGCAGGAAATAATGGGCTGCTACTTAGACTTGGAAATGCAAATATATAAGTACAATACAGTAGGAAAAAAACAATTGGGCAGCAGTTCATGTGAAACA